ATGCACTGACCGCCCTCATGCACTGACCGCCCTCATGCACTGACCGCCCTCATGCACTGACCGCCCTCATGCACTGACTGCCCTCTGGCCTCACGGCATGCCGTGCAGAGGAGGGAGGTTACCTGGATGGAGCAGTCGCGCTCAAAGAGGTGGATGGCGTTGCCGTACTTGTCCGCCAGCACCTGATGGGGGGGGGATTAAGGGGGAGAGGAGGGGAAAGGGGAGGGATTGAGAGAGAAGGGGCGCAAGGAGAGCGGAGGGAGAAGGGGAGACGCGAGTGTGCGGTTGAGGTGGCTGCCTTGCTTGTCCGCCAGCATGGTGGCGCGGGTGGAAGGGGAAGGGATGCGAGAGGCGCAGGGGGGATGAGAGAGTGCGGGGAGGGTATGACGGAATTGAGATGAATATTTGACAGGCATTCTACAGCAGGAAATACAAGTAAGACGTCATCGTAACTACCTACTGCCGCGCTCCCTCACCCTTGCAGCAAGCAACATCCCTCCGTGCAAGTTTCAACACCACGTGCCATTCTCATTGCTCACAGCAGCAACTGCACCTCCCACGCTCTCACAAGCAGCGTGCCTACCTGCCTCTGCGCACACCTCTGCTCCAACCTCACATTCCCCGCCCCCCCACCTGAGCTCCACCTAGCGGGGTCCCTCTTATTCGCCCGCCCACCTGGAACTCGACGTGGCGGGGGCGCGCGATGGCCTTCTCCAGGTACACCCCGTCGTTGGAGTCGACTCAAAAGCCACACAACCTCTGCTCCGACCCGCTCACCTTCCCGCAGTGGCGCAAATCACCTCACCTCCCCGCAGTAAAGCAAATCACCCTCACCTCCCCGCAGTAGCGCAAATCAGCCTCACCTGGAACTCCACGTGGCGCGGGCGAATGATGGCCTTCTCCAGGTACACCCCGTCGTTGCCAAACGCCGCCCCCGCCTCCTGCCGCGCTTGCTGCTCTCACCACGCACGCACACAGGGGGGAAGGGTGGGCAAGTTTTGTAAGGATTTAGGGGGGAAAGCCGTACGAACTGATGGATCAAGAGCTAAGATCCCTCAAATATAAGGACGGGTGTGAAACACAGAGCATGAGCGTAACATCTCAGAAAGGAGCAACGTGCTCGTTCCACCTCATGTAAACAGCTCATCGCCATGCCATGCGGCCCATCTCACCTGGTAGAGCTTGACGAAGTCCCCCCTCTCGAGCACCAGGCGCATGCCACGGCCTCCGCCGCCCGCCGTGGCCTTGATCATCACCGGATACCCCATGCCGTCCGCCACCGACAACGCCTCCTCCACCGTCTGCGCCAACGGGGGGAGGGGGGAGGGGGAGGAGGGGTGGGAGAGGGGAGATGGGGGCGGGGGGAGGGTGAGGGGCGGGGGAGGAGAATGTGAGCGTAAATGTAACACGAAAATGTGCGCGTTCGTCAGTGTGTGTGCATGTGAGTGCGTGTGTAAGTGTGCGGGAGAGAGACAGCGCGTGCGAGCAAGTGTGCACTCACGTCGATCAGCCCTTCACTGCCGGGCACGGTTGGCACGTTGGCTCGTCGCATGGTTTCGCGCGCCGTCGCCTTGTCGCCCATCAGGCGAATGCTGTTGGGCTGCGACACACGCAGCAATCGCACGGCAGTCGCAAGGCAGGAGAGGACAGGAGAGAAGATTACAGAGAGAACGAGGGAGCGACGAAGGAGCTGGTCACCATGTTCATCATTCATGGACTCCTTGCTTTAAAACCCTCTTCTCAAGATTTCACAACAGCTATGCCATTTGAAACCGTGCTAACTCGTTCCTGCGATCATGGCCCCCGCTCCCGCCACCTCACCGCACTTTCAAATCCTATCGCACCTCCCACCGCTATTCACCCCGAGCTACCGCACAGCACCGCGCGCGGGCACACCTTGGGGCCGATGAAGTTGAGGCCGTGGTCGGTGCAGATCTCGACGAACGTGGCGTTCTCGGCGAGGAAGCCGTACCCCGGATGCACCATCGTGCACCCCGTGCTCACCGCCGCCGCCACCAGGTTCGGAATGTTCAGGTACCTGAGAGAGAGCGCGCGGGGGCATCGCGGGAATCGCGCATCGAGGAAGGGGCGAGAGGATGGTGCGGCGCACGAGAATGGATGTGGGATCGATGAGAATGCATTTGGGTGGTGTTAAAATGGAGGACGCAACCGATGGCGCGACAGCCACGCCTGGTGGCGGAAAGAGAGAGTCGCGGTGACTCGGGACTGCACGGATAGGAGAGAGTGGCGGCGGAACTCACGATTGCGCGGAGGGGGCCTCGCCGATGCAGACGGCCTCGTCGGCGAGCTCGACGTGCAGCGAGTTGCGGTCGATGGTGGAGTACACCGCCACGCACGGGATGCCCAGCTCGTGTGCCGACCGGATCACGCGCACCGCGATCTCGCCGCGATTCGCCACCAGGATCTTCTCTTGACACGTGGCGCCCAGCGCGCCTCCGCGGGACTTTCCGCCAGCGGCCTTGGGGGCGGAGAGGGACTGCGCGGCGGCGTGGCGGCGGAGGGAGGTGCCGGCGAGCGAGGAGGAGACGCTGGCGATGGGCGCGGAGGCGGTGAACGGGTCGCGCGCCGTGCACGACGGCGTTGCCGACGCCGACACCGTCGCGCGCTTGGAGACCGCGCTGACGCCGGATGCGGCCTGGTGATTCGATGATTGGCAGGGAAGGTGATTGATGCGGGAAGTGGTTAATGAGGGAGGTGGCTGATGATCAACTATGCCTGTTAAGAATGAAATATGCATGTCCTAATGGATGATGGTACGGACTGATAATGATGAAATATGAATGTCTTATAGCATGATGAACTGAGCCTGCTGATGATGAATCATGCATGTGCTAATGGATGAAATCAGTTTTGTGATGTTATATATCGCTTTGATCCTAGCGTTCAAGGGTCCTCTTCTGGGAAGACTAACGTCTCATATACGGAAGGGTTCAAATGGATAACTTCATAAGGTCCACACACGGCATGTGCTCGTAATTGCAATCGGAGCATAGGAGGCCAAACTACGAATAATTAACCAATCAAATCAAGGCTATCGCACCACGTTTAGGAGCCTGGCGCCGGACATGGTGGCAGCCTCCATGGCGGGAAGCTGAGGTGCGCTGAAGATAAGCGGCAAGCGATCAGAGAGCAAGGCAAACCAGGCTGCTGGGAGGAAAAAGTAGCAGCGACCAGGCAAAAATGAAATACAGTAAATCTGATTTGGAATGTGAAGGTGATTCCTCTGGGAACCTCTGCTGCACTGGACTGGTCAGCCAGTGATGCCCTGTGACTCTCGAGTATCCTGATTTCTGACTGGATGTTCGCAGCCCTTGCAACAGAAACGCTGCCAGGAAGGGCGTGGCTCCCGAGAACCGATCAGATCTCGAGGTGAGAGTGACTCTGATGTGACACAATGGATGGAATCGCGATCGGCCGATCGCAACGATTGATCCGCGAGGAATGGACGGTATTCAGCACCTCGAGAGTCTCACGGTTCCCAGCCGAAAATTTGAGCGATAGGTGATGGTGACGGGAAGTGACTTGGGGCTGACGTGTTGCAGATGACAGACAACCTCCATGGTACACGTGGCGAGACTGTGCGGCACTCGCAATAGCTTCCAGCTCCGAAAGTGGGGCTGACGTGGGCGCGATCGACAGACCGATCACAAAATAGAGGTTGGCTTTTGGCTCGAGGGGGAGGCGAAAAAACGACATGGCAACACAGTTCAACTGGAGGTTGTTTTTTACAATTTGATATAACTCCTACAACATACTACCTGTACTGCTTTTGAATCACAATAGAGATTACCGTAAGCTTATGCAGAAAACCCTTTTATACTCAAAGCAGGTAGTGTTGGGATGAATCTCGTATATCATATCCTAAGACCTAGTTAGGATATGTGCGCTGATAAACTTGGAGAGAGAGGTGAAGAGTGTGTGGGGATGGCTTGGGGACCGTCCAGATTGTTACGGATGTGCTCTCATATTACAGGACAATCTGACTAAAATCTATTATATTATCCGTCTTATGGTTTGTGTTTACAATCATCTGGTTCTTACTTCAGACTCGTTACAAATACGAACTCAATTCTTTCAACCGAGTCAGTCCTGCTCGGTGTGGTCACTTTCGAACCGCAAGCTCTGCGATGGTGATCATGGGTGGCGAAAGTTGTGGTAGGCATCGCACTGTCGTCAATCACGACAGCCCTCGCAATTGTACTGCTCGCACTGTCATCGTTTGCGCCGTGCTTCGCACAGCCCCTCTACAAGCCCAAACATCAGCCACTTCTCGCCCCTCATAAGCCCACCGCGCCGTCCGTACTTTTCCAGATGGCACCCTCGCACTGGTCGTCGAGCCTCGGGTGCGCGGTCCGTCTCCGTCGTGCGCGCTTCCGCTTGGGTTTGAGAATTATGAAATGGTGGGAAAGCTGCTCCCGCAAAGTCCAACAAAGGTGCGGCGAAATGGTAAGGACCACCCTCCACTCACAACTCCCTCACTCACTCACTCCCTCCACTACCTCACACATCCTTCTCACAATCACCCCCCACTGTACGTTCACTGTATGGAGGGGCGGATATTTGCACGGACTGTTGACAAGCAATCCCACCACCACCGCCACCACCACTCACCACCAACCTGTAAACGCACGACACTCCGTGCACAGGGGCAAACCCTGGCTCCACCACAAAGCGTTTCTTTCCTGTCCTGTGACCTGTCCCACCCGCCATCCCTAAAAGCAGCGACAGCGGAGACATTTTACCTTTTGTTCGTAAGTTAGGTAGCCCAGAGAGCAATTGGTAATCAAGCTCTAGCATGTGGTTAGCCGAGAACCGGAGCTGCGCATGAGACCATGCGTGTACGTTTTCCGAAATGAAGTAACCCGGCTTGAGCGTGCTTTCTCGCTGCTGTAGTTTAATTTTAGTCAGTGGTCGCAGCTTCAAGCTTTAACATTTAACTCTTATTAAGCAGAGGTTTGTTATCCACGAAGGTAGTTAGAATGGCAGCGATGGCGACGCCCGAGCGGCTTTTCCCGAACGCCAGCCGCTCAGACATTAGAACCCGCTTTCACCTCGGCAAGCAGCTGGGGCAGGGCGGCACAGGCGTAGTAACCGTATGCAGCGACCTTCAAACGGGGATACCGGTCGCGGCGTGCAAGAGTGTGCCGAAGAGCAAGCTCCAGCGGCGCGACGCGCTGGAGGAGCTGCAGCGCGAGGTGCACGCGAACCGCCGCGTGCGCGGGCACGCGCACGTGGTGGAGCTGCGCGGGCTGTACGAGGACGCGCAGGCCGTGCACCTCGTCATGGACCTCTGCAAGGGCGGCGACCTCTACGACTTCCTCATCGCTCGCTCGCCCGTCGCAGAGCCCGTCGCAGCCGAAATCGCCAGGTACGCCTGTCGAAGGGCCCCAATGGTCGCTCCTTGCCTAGGGTTTCAGAACCAAGCAGTCTTACGCAACACGAGCTCCCAGTCCGAAACATCTGGGCGCTCAAATCGACGAGCAGAAAATAAATAGCTTAAAGTCGCTAACCGTTTTCCCCATTGCGTCTATTTCCGCGCCCCCCTGGTCCCGCTCCGGCAGGCAAGTGCTGCTAGCGTTGGCGCACTGCCACGCGGTGGGCGTGATGCATCGCGACATCAAGCCGGAAAACATCCTCCTCGTCGCGCCCGACGACGCTTCGGGCCGCGTGCACGTGAAGCTCGCGGACTTCGGGCTGGCCGTGCTGCTGCGGCCCGGACAGCGCGCCGTGGGCATGTACGGCAGCGCGATCTACATGTCGCCCGAGGTGGTGTGCCGCCGCCCGTACGGCCACGCGGTGGACCTCTGGGGCCTCGGTGTCATCGTCTACCTCGCCCTCGCCGGTACGCCCCTCGCCTCTCCCCGCTCTCGCCCCTCCCTCTCCCCGCTCTCGCTGCCCGCTCTACCCTTCGCCATTCCCCGCTCTACCCCTTGCCGTTCCCCGCTCTACCCCATTGGCCGGCTGACTGCTCTCCACGGCGCTACCGTGCTTCATCGCCATTTCCTCAATTGTCGCCTCGCGCTCACCCGTTCCCCTCCCCACACCGGCCCCCCGCCCCGCGCAGGCTACATGCCGTTCTGGGGCAGCACGGACGAGGAGCTCTTTCTGCGCATTCTCCGCAACTCCCCCGACTTCCGCGCGGACCCCTGGCCCCGCGTGTCCCCGCAGGCGGTCGACTTCATCCGCTCGCTGCTCCACTCCGATCCCGCGCACCGCCCTTCCGCGCTCGCCGCGCTGCAGCACCCCTGGATCGTGCAGCACTGCGGCGGCCCCGCCGCTTCCCCCGCGCCCTCGCTTTCCGCCGAGCCCATGCCCGGGATGACGCCCAAGGCCCCCGCAGCTACGCGCAAGTCTGCGCCAGCGGGGGAGAACGGGGCGAAGGTGCACCCGGAGGCGGGCAAGGCGCAGCAGCTGCCGCGCGCGGGTAGCATGGAGGCGGGCGGGGAGGCGGCGGTGATTGCGCCGCTGTCGACGCTCAACAAGATCCGCGTGGGCGGAGCGGGGCAGTCCGGGGGACAGTCGGCCGCGCACCAGGGCAGGGCAATGGACGTCGACTCCGACCAATCAGTTCCTATCGCTCCAGTCGCTTCCGCCTCTTCCGCCGCTTCCGCTGCTTACGCCATGCCTGCGCCCATGAAGCAGCCGCGGCAAGCGCCCGCGGGTGCCCAGCGGCAGTGGCCAACGCAGCAAGTGGAAGCGGCGCAAGCGCAAGCGCAAGGCGGGGAGGAGGTGCAGCCGCTGCAGCGCGCGCGGCGAGCGAGTCAACCGTGCGAGAAACGCGAGGGGCGGGGGAAATCGACGAGAGGCGCGTCCGCCGCGGAGCAGCAGGTGCGCGGACGGTCCCGCCACCGCGAGTCCGCAACAGCCCCACGCGCCATGGATGTCGACGAACCCATGTCGTCGCAGCCGTCGCAGGCAAACCACCATGCGTCGCACGCACTGCCACCAATCCAGGTTCCACCTTCCGCGGGCTCCGCGCCGTCGCCGTCGCCGTCGGAGACGCCCGCGAGTTCGCAGGCCGCCACGCCCACGGCGCCGTCGACTCGTCCGCGCGCGTCCCACTTCCGCTTCTTCTCCCCGAAGCGCAAGTCGCGCGCCGCAACTCACGTCACCGTTGCCGACGCGCCCTCAGGCGACTCGACTCCGCTGTCCATCCCCGGCACCCCCACGTACCTGCCGCTCGACTCTCCCTCCGCATCCTCCGCCGCACGAGGCGGCGAATCGAGCCGCTCCACGTCATCCTTCATGGACGCAGCGCCCTCGTGCTTCCCCGTTTTCCGGCGCCAATCGTCTTCCTCCTCCTCCACGCCGCGGTCTCGCACCGCCAAGCCGTCGGTCATCACCATCCCGCTGCGCACTCAAGCATCCGCCACGTCAGCTTCCGAAGTAACAACGGTCGAGATTCCCTGCATCAGGACCGAGCCGCCTCTCGACCCAACCAAGCAGCCGCCTTCCTTACCTGAGATGCAGGCTCGGCTATCCCAACCAGACGGCTCCCTGCCCGTGCCTGAGCTCCTCTCCTACCTCCGCCCTCGCCCCTCTTCCCCCCGCCGCGCGCCCGCCGCCTCCGCGGACGATTCCGCGCCCTCGTCCGCCGCCTCCTCCGCCCCGCAGAAGCGCGGCTTCGCGAAACCCGCGTGGATGGAGGCGATTCGCGCCGCCAAGCCGGAGGACTCGCTAGCCGGGCAGGCCGGCGCCGCGAAAGGCGCCGCAAGTGGCGGGCTGCCGGCGGGCACGGACGCGCGGAGGGCGTCGAGCCAGTTCCTCGCGTCGAACCCGACGCGCAAGCCGGCGGCAATCGCGGCGGGCTTGGCGGCGGGTGGTGGCAGCGCGGAAAAGGTCAGCAGCCGCGCATGCGTGTCGATCAACATTCCGGCGGATCAAGATCCGGAGCCGCGCGAAGCGCGCGAGCCGAAGAAGAAGGTTCGGTCGCCCGCCACGCGCCCGGCGCAGCCACCCGAGTCGCCCAGGACGATCCCTCTCGACTCGCGCCAGTCGCCCAAGCCCTCCCCCTCGTCGCTCATCGACCCCCGGCAGTCCCCGCGCCTGTCCTCTCCGCGCAACCCGCGCGCGGGCGGGAAGCTCGTTCCGCCGCTGGTGCTCCCCATGCGCGGAGCCTACGAGGCGGAAAAGGAAAAGCCCCTCCGCCGGCGGGACTCGGCGCAGCGGGGCGCAGGAACCGGAGAGGGCGCAGGCGGAAGCGCAAGCGGGGGAGAGGAGAGCGCATACCTCAGCTGCAAATCCCCTTCCGCGAGCAGCGTTGCTAGCAGCGTCACGGAGGGGTGGTCCCCGTTTATGAGCAGCGCGGGCAGCGTGAGCGGCAGCAGCAACGCGGGCAGCGGCGGCAGCAGCCCGTACCACGCGGAGACGCTGACGCCAGCGCTGACGTCAGTGCTGAAGATGAGAGCAATGGTGCGCGTGCCTGTGGGCGGCAGTGCCGGGCAGATGGCCGGGCAGGGCGGGCAGGACGGGCAGGTAGAGGCGGGCAGGCAGGAGAGAAAGGAAAGAAAGGAGAGAAAGGAGAGGAGCGACAAGCATGAGAGGCGGGAGAAAATGGAGAGGCATGGGGGGCATAAGAGTCACATGGAGGTGGAGGGGGAGGAAGGAGGGGCAGCAGTGCACATGGTGACATCAGCAGAGGGGGCAGATGTGGTGAGGAGCAATGGGGAGCACCGCACCCACAGCAGCAGCCATAGCCATAGCCACAGCGGCAGTCACAGCAGCAGTCAGAGTCAGGCCCATGGGGCTCGTAAGGCCCGGGGGCTGGGGTCGATTGTGCGAGCCTTTGCTGCTCTCTCCACCGCACAGCCCGACTCCGGTGCTGGTAACGGGGTAACCCCCTCAGGCAGCAAGTCTGCTTCTGTCCCGGTCACTCCTGTCCGCAATCCGTTCAGCAGCAACGTCTCATCCTCGTCATCGTCTGCCAAGTCAGCGTCGGCGCACGTGGCGAGCCTCCGCGCTGCTGGCGCGTCAGCAGGGCCGCGCGCATCTGCCAGCGTGGCGGCTGCAGCGGCAGCAGCATCTGCGAGTGTGGGCGCCCCTGCTGCAGCGAATGCCTCAAGCTACAGCAGCAGCTCTTCAGCTTACTCGCTCTCTTCAGCGAGTGGTTCTGGTTCTGCTGCTCCCTTCCGGCCTCCTGTGCCCAAATGGGGTGAGGGGGGTGTTGGGACGGCCAGAGCAAAGGGGGGAGCGCTGGCAGAAGCGAGGGCAATCATTAAGCAACGCCAGATGCTGCTGCAGCAACAGCAGCAGCAGCAGCAGCAGCAGCAGCAGCAGCAGCAGCAGCAGCAGCAGCAGCAGCAGCAGCAGCAGCAGCAGCAGCAGCAGCAGCAGCAGCAGCAGCAGCAGCAGCAGCAGCAGCAGCAGCAGCAGCAGCAGCAGCAGCAGCAGCAGCAGGATGGGGATTTTGGGCATGGGGCCGGCTTGGTTGGGTTGGCACCTGGAGGAACTTGGCTGGCCTCTCGGTGATGCAGGGAGAGAGGAGGGACCAGGGGGCGAGTGGGATGGAGGGGGGAGAGGGAATCTGAATTGTGCGCTTTTTAGGTGTGGTTACTAGGAGCTCTTGCCTGCTAACTTCCTATTTAGGGAATGCGACCTTCAGGCTTGGGGTTTAGGACGACACTAACCTGTTTCCTAGGTGTTATTAAGCATGTATCCGGATTTGCAAACCCAGTCAGGTGGCCGGTTCAGAGTGAAAGATGAAGTAGGTGCTCCCGTATGGGCTTCAAGCAACATCATGAGTGCATGTTGCAATTTTATCCTGAATAAATTGACAGTTTGATTTGATGATGACAGCTGTGTTACTATTATTGAGTGCATGTTGAGTGTTCCTACACCAGTAGCATGCACCCATCACATAGGTAGCACATTATTATTCATCCCTACAGAAAGTTCACTTCACACTACACAAACCCAGGACATGATTCAGTTAATTAGTTAGTTTGCTGTCACCATTCAATAAATCCTGGTATTCCTGAGAACCCTGAAACAATATTAGAGCTCCTAGAAGTTAAACACCCCTACCAGCCTACTGCTCCTCACACTAGCATGCAACCTTGTGTTGCACATCCATGCACATGCACTCACATCCCAGCACCCTACCCTAACTAACCTAACCTAGAAAGCCACGCCACCGCTCTGCCATTGCAGTCTCCATGCTGTGCCCCTGCCTCGCCTCGTCCTCAAACAGATCATCTCCTGCTAACGGCACCAAGCACCCCCCGCAAACTATCTTCCCTGCGCAACCACACCACCCCATTCCCACCCATCTACATCTTCCTCCTGGTTCTTCTTATTGAGCCCTACCCAAAGCTCCACCTCACCCCCATGCCCCCCCAACTACAACTATCATGTTTCTGTAGCCCTCAGTGTCGCCCACTTGCTCCGCTCCCCCATCCGTCCCCCTCTGCACCGCACCTGCACTCCCCCATCCTCCTCTCCGCCCTCCCCATCCGCGCCTCCCCACTCCCCCGCTTCCCCCCCCTCTTCCGTCGTTGCCAGCCTCTGATACGCCTTGGGGGTCTTCCCCGCCCGCTTCCCCGCCCCCCTCTCGCCGCCCTCTCCCGCCCTCCGCTGCCCCGCTTCCGCCGCCCCTCCCTCGTTATTATCACGTCCGTTCGTCACAGCGCCAGCAGCGTCCCCCGCTGCAGTCACGCGCCGCCCCGCCTCGTCCTCAACCTCCCATAGCCTGTCCGCGCTCGTTTCGAAGTCCGCGCGCTGCGCAAAGAAGCACCCAAAGCACGCGCCGAACACATTCGCGCGCGTCCGCGGAAGCCGCGCGCCCGTCCCCTCTCCCCCCGCGTCTAACTTCTCCGCGCCGCGCACGCCCGTCATCAGCCCGAGCCGCCACCCGCGCTTCATCCACCGCATGCGCCACAGCCGCCACATGCGGCGGCGCGGACCGGCAGGCGGCATGTCGAGCCCGTCGTCCATCGCGCCGTCTGCTGCGGCGGATGGCGGCTCCACCCACGAGTTGGAACGCGCGGAAGCGTACGACGACGACGGCGACGAGGGCGGCTCGGTGACTGGTTCCGACAGTGACGTCATGAGGATGCGACCCGGCGAAGCGTCGTCGGCGGCTGGAGCAGCCTGAGCAGTGGGAGCAGCGTCCGCATCGCGCAAGGCGGCTTCCGCCACCTCTGCGCTCGCATCGTCCGCGCCTCCGTTTCTCCGCGCCACTGCCGCGGCAACTGCCGCTATGACGCTTGCGGGCGGCGCATCGGACGGTACGGACGACGACCCGCTCTCGCTGCTGTTGCCGGCGCTGCTGCCGACTCCCCACGCGCCTCGGCTGAGATTAACGGCCGGCAGCCGGCCCATGGGCGCCCACACGTCGCTCTTCAGCTGCGACGCCGCCGCCGCCGCAGCAGCCGCCGCCGACGACGCCGCAGACGACGCCGCCGCCGCAGCGGCTGCAGCAGCGGCGCTGGCGTTAGGAAGGGCGGCGCGGATAGCGGCGGAAACCGACCCCGCGTCCGCGCGCCAGAGCGCGGAGGGCGTGCGGGGTAGCGGAACCTCGGAGCCGTCGAGAACGATCGGCGCGGCGGGACCGCAATGAGCGACGAGCCATGGATGATTGATCAATTCCTCGACGCTGCTGCGACGATTCGGGTCGACGACCAACAGACGTCGCACGAGCGACTTCGCGTCGTCGGAGACGAACGAACACGGGCTGAAGCGCATCTCGTACCGCCCCTCGCAGATCTTGCGCGCCAATCGACGGTCGTCCTTGTCCATGAACGGCAGCCCGCCCGATAAAAGCACATAGAGAATCACGCCGAGGCTCCACACGTCGGCCTTGTGATTATAACGGTCGCCCAGCACCACTTCGGGCGCCTCGTACATGAGGCTGCCCACGCTCACCGTCGCGAACACGCCCGGCGGCAGCACGAGGCCCAACCCGAAATCGGCGAGTTTCACCTGAATCGCCGCCATTGCCTCGCTGCGCATGTTGAGCCCCGCGCCGGCCGCCGCGCCGTCAGGGCGGTTAGGATAGTGCAGCAAGACGTTCTCGGGCTTTAAGTCGCGGTGCATGACGCCCCGCGCGTGGCAGTACCGCACCGCGTCGGATAGCTGGCGGAAAACCCGCGCCGCCAGCGGCTCGGGCATCTTCCCTTCATGGAAGATTTTCTGGTAAAGCTCCCCGCCGTTGCAATACTCCATAACCATAAACACGTCAGACCCGTCCTCGTACACCCCCTCCAACCGCACTATACCGGGATGGCCCGCAATCGCGCGCATGAGCGCAATCTCCTGCGTGAGCACCTGGCGCTCGAGCACGCTCTTGAGGCGCGCCTTGCTGACGATCTTGCACGCGAAGCGCTGCCCGGTCTGGCGGTGCATGCACTCGACGACGACGCCATAGCTGCCGCGGCCTATCTCCTTGCCCATGGCGTACGTGCCGTGAGGACTGGACAAGGGTCCCGATAAACTTAAACATCGCGAGGCGGTGCTGGACATTTGTGCGGCTGTGACCTTGCTTGTGAACGGGTGATTGACGAACGGATTGAGCGATGGCGTGAAGGACGGAACGGGCTGCGGCCACGACATCAACAGCTGGTTACCCTCATCTTGACGAGCGAACATCGTCATCCTTGCCCTACCAGACTAGCACCTCCCAGGTCCCAATGAAAAGTGCCTAATAAAAAAAACTAGGGTTAGCATGTGCTCGATATGCTTGTCAGTGTGAACTGAACTGGGGTCGGTTCAACGGCGGAACCAAGGCAGGCCACTCACGTCACTAGGAGAGAAAGGAATGCAGCACGCCATAGTTGGTGTGGTGTGGTGGACCGCAGAGAGTTGTGTGACGCGAGAAGGGGGAGGAGAAGGTGAGTAGGAAGGAGCGCCCGCTTTGCTTCCTCCCCTCGCCACGCCACCGCAGAGGCGGAGGGCGAAGTCAAAGGGAGGGGCAGACAGACACGCGTCGAAGCGGGGAGACGCGGATTGGGGAACCTGCGCCGCGCCGACCACGCGGTGCTGCGTTGCGTGCACTTGCCTCGCAACCCAAACCGGCGGACCTGGAAAAGTCCTGCCCGATTACAGAACAGGTATGAAACCCAGGTCGATTTCCGCTGTGCCTTCACATGTGGTAGGTTCACTTGCCCGCTTGCGGTTATTTGACGGCGGTTTCTTGCCCGCAACCACTGTTGAGAGGGGCGCAAAACGGAAGCTAGGGGCACCACCAGCGTGGCGCGGCTCGTTTGGGCCAAAATCGGGGCTGACGTTTCCACTCAGCAAAGCCTACTTGGTAGGTCTGGCCAATCACAGTCAACGTTCCACCTAAGCAATGGGATTGTATGAGGGGCCCTCTGATTCTATAATGGGGGTCAGGAACTTCGGAAAGGAGGGAATTGACAGACTGGCACGCCCGTGACGCAGAACCCTGGGAATACAGTTTACTAAACACCCATATTTCGTACGCTAACCTATGTAAAATACTGTACGACGCAGTAAGTTGTTTAGTCTGACCAGACTGATTGCGCGGCACCGCAACACCAACTCGGGCAGGTTCGTAGCGCGTGTTCTGGTCACTTGTGCAACCACGGTGCGTGGGAGTGGCGGGACTGTCCAAGCAAACTTTTTGTCCTTCCTGTCAGTGAACCTAAAAGAGGCAAGCCTAAGAGTTGTTCAGATTTGGCCACCTTCATTAGATTGGTGTATACCATTTCCTTACGCCTTATTCCTCCACCGAGACACATCAAATCGGGTTAAATCACATCAACACACAACCCTCCAGCACCGGTCTACTACATTACCATGTCTGTTTCTTGCCGTAACTGGTAAAATCTATCAAGTTAACAGACCCTGTGGGAAACGCTTAGGTTTGTAACGGGGATTTCCACGTAGCCCAACCCCAACCAGCAACAAGTCAAGGCGGTTGACAGAGAAATACCTGGCTCTAGCACCTGAATGTCAGACTGGCAGCACTACAGTAGCCACCACACACCACACTCTTTGGCAGGCGCGCGACACTCTCACTTTCACAGCAAGCGAGACGCCCTTCCTCCAGCTTGCAGGGTCGAGTCGCGTGCATTCAAATGGGACAACATGACAAAAATGACTTTTAGCGAACTCACTCAACCGTTCTGAAAGTCGCCAAAACATGTACAATCCCTTTTAGTTTGCGAGCAGAAATTCTCGCTGCCAACCAAGCTTGCTTGTGAATGATGCTCTCAGCTCCAACAGACCCTTATCATCCTCCGCATTTGCCCCTCCAACAGACCTATTATAATGATTTATGTGCAGTGTCGCTACCTTGCACAGCTTCATGTCTGATTGCCTTCGGGCCCAAAATCTCTAGTTTCACTCACAGGCGGCACTGATGCCGGGAGCTTTGCTTACTGAGCCATCCCCATCGTGCGGGATCCGACCTACGGCCGACCTACTAGCTGAATATATATTCGTCGACGTTCTAGGGAAGGGAAAGTACGGCGTGGTGTGGAAATGCAGGGAGCGCCGCACGGGCCGCG